TTCATAGCAAAAAGCATGCCATGGCATATGATATCTAGGAAATAAATATTTTTCTGTGAAACTAAACAAGTCTAACACACAGGCCACACGTACTGTACAGCTCCCCATCTAACGCACAGCCCCCAAATATAATACACTGCCCCCCCACATGTAACAAACAGCCCCTCCATCTAACACACAGACCCCACAATATACTGCGCAGACCCCCCCTATATACTGTGCAGACCTCCCCCTATATACTGTGCAGACACCCCCCCCTATATATACTGTGCAGACCCCCTATATATACCGTGCAGACACCCCCTATATACTGTGCAGACCCCCTATATACTGTGCAGACCCCCATATACTGTGCAGGTACCCCCTCATATACTGTGCAGACCCCCTATATACTGTGCAGACCCCCCCCTATATACTGTGCAGACCCCCCCCCCAATATACTGTGATCTCCCCTCGGGTGGCTGAGGGTGTTGGGAGCAGGGGGAGACTGACCTGTTTGAATGCAAGGATGGGAGTCCGCGCATGCGCAGTATAGGGGTAGGGAGATTTGATGGCTATGTGTGTCTGTCCTGTGAAATTTCCCTACCCCACATTGCGCACGCGCGGTCGATTGTGTCCGCGCGTGCGCAGTATAGGGGTATGGAGATTTAACAGGCGAAATGGCCATCAGATTTCCATACCCCAGTACTGCGCACGCGCGCTGTACCTCCGACGGGAGTACTAGACGCGCATGCGCAGTGCGGCGTTAATGTCCCCTGCTCGCTGTTAACATTCTCTGCCTGGAGGTTGTGCGCATGCGCGATGCGGCACACCTCCTCCTCTATTGGTTGGACGTCACTTCCGGTGCGGCCGCGTCACCGGAAGTGACGAGGGTATGTCTTTTTCACGGGGTATGTCTTTTTGATAGAACAATGGCACATTTTGAGATTTCCAATGTCTAGGTAAACAGGATGTAGCAGCGATCAGAATGTGGCCTATGATTATTTTATCTGATCTATTAACGGACTCCAGGAGTTTTTTAAATAAGGCTAGTTCCGAGGTTAAGATACTAATGGTTCCGTTCACTTTAATAATCAGATCGTGGATCATTTTCCAATAATTAATTAACTTGGGGCAGAACCACCAGATATGGGCCATATTGCCCACTCCCCCACAATCTCTCCAACACCAGTCAGAATACATATTGTTCATGTTATGTAATCTAGACGGAGCCAGGTACCAGCGATATAAGATTTTATAATGATTTTCAAAATGGTCGGTGCAATACGAAATACCTTTTAAACCTTTAAAGAAACCGAACCATTCTTCTAAATCGTACTGGGCACCCAACTCCGTCTCCCATGACAGCATATGTTTTAATTTAATTAAGGGCTTGGCATTATGAGATAAGTAACATAAGGATATCATACCTTTACTAGCGGGGCTGTATAACTCATTCCTAATTCCATGTGCGATGTATAAATCCCTTGTTTTAAAGCCATATTATTCTTAATAAACCCTTATAGTGAAGGAGTTAATGGGCATTTTTTTTTTTTTTTTTTTTAAAAGAAAGTGTTTGTAGTTATATCTTTCTTCCATCACACGAATACTGCCAAATAGCAGCTCAGACCAGTATATACAAGATAAACGTGTACTTTCAATAGTTACAAAGTCTACAACTCATTTTTTTACAGGAACGTAATGTTCGGGGACAGACATTGTGTTCCCCTGGAAGATAAATTCTCATAACTTTCAATTGTTCCTGCTTTCGGTACGAATTGTTCCCATCGGAATCTTTGTGTGGTCTACACCAGATTTCTAAAAGTATCTTTTCTTTTGAGAAATATACAGTAAGCCCCGGGTGCTCCCGAAGACAAAGCCATCTAAATTACCACGGTGTAACAGATGGAGCTGACATGGGTTACCACTGACGATGAACACGGTATGCGACGTTCTAAATGACTAATTTTAAAACATCAGTTATATGGACATAGACCTTCTGCAATGGTAAACTCAGACAGATTATTACATTTCTAAGTAAGAGAGGACAAAGGAGGGATAGCGAGAGAAGTAGTTGCCCCCTGGGCCACTTGCTTATGAGAGATTGTGGACTGCGGCCTGATTTCCACCATTCTGCTGCTGACTAACGGCGGTGGGAAGAGAGTTGAGATGGATATCAATCCATGGAAAGTGTGTCGAGATGGATATCAGATGGAAAGCAAGCGAGCTTGAGATATTTTACCCCATGGTGAATTAAATATTATACATGGCAAACAGAGGGAAATTACATGGTACAGTGGTGCTGGTACAGGAGACAGCTATGCTTGTCTCCGTACCAATGAAAGTAAGTACTAAGGCCTAAAAACTTCTGTGCGTGGGCCTTTCTCACCTAGGTATACCACCCATGACATATATCCTCCACAAACAATACAGAAGCCTACTGGGCAGGCCAAGACTCCACATTCAACAAAAGGGTTGGATACGCTTTAAAATAAGGGTATATAACCCTGGACAATCACGCAGTATAACGTAACTACGTTACTATTCCTAAACCCTCGCTTTATTTATTTATCCCTTTTGGAATTGGAAACAGAGAGATTTCATCTGCAGCCAGGTTGCTCCCAGATGGGGAATGGTCCACTTGACTGGCTCCAGCGCAGACACAAAACAAAGCTGGATAAATGAAGCTTGTTTTGGTCATCGAAGAGACACCGTGTATTAAGTGATCGTCTCTAGTTACGGTACTTCCTACAGCTGTATCAGATGGATATTGTTTTAACCCAATCCTTGTACGTGATTAGACCCTTCACCCTTTCAGATCCCTGCCTTAAATTAACTCTCTGTCCGTCCTGCTTTGGCAAGTCCCGGAAAGTGATCTCCTGCGCGGCTCAATCCTTCCATTCTTCTCAGTCAAACACAGATGTACAATATCGGTTTTACATTTCCTTTTTGTTCAGGAATGTGTCACTTATTTTGTTCTTCATTTTGGTGTTTTGGCAAAGTACAAATTGTAGAGCCGTGTTTGGAAACAGTCAGGTTGTTCACTAAACTGCGAACTGACCACAACGTTTCATTTTAGAACAAAATTCTAGAAAAATAAAATCTCTGACAATCTGCTCGCAAAATGTGGAAAGAGCAGACCCCCCTACAGAGGCATCTACCAAAAACGCTTAAAAAATAAATAAATAAGTTAACCCAAATGCCGTCTTTGTACAGTATTGTGAGATTGTCCTTCTGGAATCAAAAGTTGATACCTCAACATGTAAAGTAACAGGAATAAACGAATAGGAATATGAAACATGGCTACGGCAATGGTAAAGGATTAATTCATGTCTTTTTAGTTTCCTTCTGTTTTAAATAACATACTACAGCATACCCCAGCCTATCTCAGTTTCTCTCTTCCCGTTCCCATTCGATGTGCCTTTCACACCTCACACCTGTGCTACCCAAGCTATTCAACTATTCAGTTTCCTCTTTTTTATATCTATATCCCATCAGCCATATTCCATTTTTCTTTCCCAATATTCTCTTTCGGTCCCATCTATTAGAGATCCCTATTTCCCTCCATCCCATTAAAGGAACACTATAGTCACCAAAATTACTTTAGCTAAATAAAGCAGTTTTAGTGTATAGATCATTCCCCTGCAATTTCACTGTTCAATTCACTGTCATTTAGGAGTTAAATCACTTTGTTTCTGTTTATGCAGCCCTAGCCACACCTTCCCTGGCTATGACTGACAGAGCCTGCATTGAAAAAAAAAAACTGGTTTCACTTTCAAACAGATGGAATTTATCTTAAATAATTATATCTCAATCTCTAAATTGAACTTTAATCACATACAGGAGACTCTTGCAGGGTCTAGCAAGCTATTAACATAGCAGGGGATAAGAAAATCTTAATTAAACAGAACTTGCAATAAAGAAAGCCTAAATTGGGCTCTCTTTACAGGAAGTGTTTATGGAAGGCTGTGCAAGTCACATGCAGGGAGGTGTGTCCAGGGGCGGACTGACCACTCGGGCACTTCGGTCATGGACCGAGGGCCCGAGGCAGTCAGGGGCCCGGCTGCACAGCCATGCTCCAGCTGGAGAGATCAGAGATCTCTCCAACTGGAACGGCAAAATAATAAAATAAAACTTTTTAATTGATAGGTTGTGGGGCCCCTGATGCAGCGCGGGGCCCCACAACCTACCGTTTTGCTAGTCACCCCCCCCCACCCCATGGAGACCTGGCAGCTTCAGCTCCTCTCTGCCAGGTCTCCTGCTTCCTCTCCCATGCGGCTCTGTGTGATGGGAGAGGCCAGGAAGTGACATCACTTCCTGTTTACTCCTCTCACACAGAGCCGAGCATGGAGAAGGAGCAGCAGCCGGGGAGAGAAGAGGGAGCAGAGATGCAGGTAGGCACCAATCACCCCCTTCCCCCCCCCTCACTATCACCAGTCACCCCCCTCACTGTCACCAGTCAGTCACCCCCCCCACTGTCACTAGTCACCCCCCTCACTGTCACTAGTCACCCCCCCACTGTCACTAGTCACCCCCATCACTGTCACCCACCCCCCTCACTCTGTCACTAGTCACCCCCTCACTGTCACTAGTCACCCCCCCACTGTCACTAGTCACCCCTCACTGTCACTAGTCACTCCCCACTGTCACCAGTCACCCCCCTCACTGTCACTAGTCACCCCCACTGTCACTAGTCACCTCCCCCTCACTGTCACTAGCCACTTCCCCACTCTGTCACCCTCACTGGTCACTAGTCACCCCCACTGTCACTACTAGTCACCTCCACTGTCAAATAGTCACCCCCACTGTCACTAGTCACTCCCCACTGTCACTTGGGTCACCCCCCACTGCCACTTCAGTCACTCCCACTCTGTCACCCCTCACTGTCACTAGTCACCCCCCACTGTCATCAGCTAGTCACCCCCACTGTCACTGGGCCTTCACCTCTAGCTCTGTCACTAGTCACCCTCTCTCTCACTCTGTCACTAGTCACCCCCTCCCTCACTCTGTCACTAGAGTGAGGGGGTGACAGAGTGAGGGAAGGGGATGACTGGTGACAGAGTGAGGGAGGGGATGACTGGTGACAGAGTGAGGGAGGGGGTGACTAGTGACAGAAGAAGGGAGGGTGTAGTGACAGAAGGAGGGAGGGAGTAGTGACAGAGGGAGGTGGTGACTAGTAACAGTCACCACCTCCCTCACTCTGTCACTAGTCACCCCTTCCTTCCCTCACTCTGTCACTAGTCACCGCATCCCTCTCTCTGTCACTAATCACTCCCTCCTAACTCTGTCACTGTGTCACCCCCTCCCTCACTCTGTCACTAATCACCCCTCTGTCCTTAGTGACAGAGTGAGGAAGGGGGTGACTAGTGACAGAGTGAGAGAGGGGGTGACTAGTGACAGAGAGAGGGAGGGGGTGACTAGTGACAGAGTGAAGGAGGTGGTGACTGTCACTAGTCACCCCCTCCCTCTCTCTGTCACTAGAGTGAGGGGGTGACAGAGTGAGGGAAGGGGATGACTGGTGACAGAGTGAGGGAGGGGATGACATGTGACAGAAGGAGGGAGGGAGTAGTGACAGTGAGGGAGGTGGTGACTAGTGACAGTCACCACCTCCCTCACTCTGTCACTAGTCACCCCTTCCTTCCCTCACTCTGCCACTAGTCACCCCTTCCCTCACTCTGCCACTAGTCACCCCTTCCCTCACTCTGCCACTAGTCACCCCCTCACTCTAGTGACAGAGTGAGGGAGTGACAGGTGACAGAGTGAGTGACTAGTGACAGAGTGAGGGAAGGGGTGACTGTCACTAGTCACCCCATCCCTCTGTCACTAGTCACTCCCTCCTAACTGTGTCACCTGCTCCCTCACTCTGTCACTAGTCACCCCTCCCTCACTCTGTCACTAATCACCCCCTCTGTCCTTAGTGACAGAGTGAGAGAGGGGGTGACTAGTGAGAGTGAGGAAGGGGGTGACATAGTGAGGGAGGGGGTGACTAGTGACATAGTGAGAGAGGGGGTGACTAGTGACAGAGTGAGGGACGGGGTGACACAGTGACAGAGTTAGGGAGGGAGTGACTAGTGACAGAGAGAGGGATGGGGTGACTAGTGACAGTCACCCCCTCTGTCACTCTGTCACTAGTCACACCCTCTCTCACTCTGTCACCAGTCATCCCTTCCTTCCCTCACTCTGCCACTAGTCATCCCTTCCCTCACTCTGTCACCAGTCACCCCTTCCTTCCTTCACAATGACAGAGTTAGGGAGGGAGTGACTAGTGACAGAGAGAGGGATGGGGTGACTAGTGACAGAGAGAGGGATGGGGTGACTAGTGACAGAGAGAAGGATGGGGTGACTAGTGACAGAGTGAGGAAGGGGGTGACTAGGGAGAGAGGGGGTAATTAGTGACAGAGTGAGGGAGGGGGTGACTAGTGACAGAGGGAGGGGGTAACACAGTGACAGAGTAAGGGGGTGACTAGTGACAGAGTGAGGGAGTGGGTGACACAGTGACAGAGTTAGGGAGGGAGTAACTAGTGACAGAGAGAGGGATGGGGTGACTAGTGACAGTCACCCCCCCTCACTCTGTCACCAGTCATCCCCTCACTCTGTCACTAGTCACCCCTTCCCTCCCTCACTCTGCCACTAGTCACCCATTCCCTCACTCTGTCACTAGTCACCCATTCCCTCACTCTGTCACTAGTCTCCCATTCCCTCCCTCTGTCACTAGTCTCCCCCTCTCCTTCCCTCTGTCACTAGTCACCCACTCCCTCACTCTGTCACCAGTCACCCCCACTCACTGTGTCTCCCCCTCACTCTGCCACCACTCAACCCCTCCCTCCCTCACTCTGCCACCTGTCACCTTCTCCCTCACACACTCTGTCACCTGTCACATATGCATTCACACAGACACGGTATACAAAAAGCACATGTAGTCATCCAGACATGCACAAGTGCATTCACACAGACTCAAATACAAACATGCATTGATACACAGGTCTTCACAATACACACATCCAAAGGAATGCCGTATTATGAATTATATTTAACATTTATTAAAATGCACATATATTTGGCCTTCAAAGGGCCTGGGATCTAATTTTGCCCGGGGGCCCCAAAGGCTCTCAGTCCGCCCCTGGGTGTGTCTAGGTTTCATAAACAAAGGGATTTAACTCCTAAATGACAGTGAATTGAGCAGTGAGCCTGCAGGGGCATGATCTATACACCAAAACTGCTTCATTAAGCTAAAGTTGTTCAGGTGACTATAGTGTCCCTTTAAGCTTTTCCTCTCCATTAAGTATCAATACATTTGATGGTGCTGTAAGAGAGTATACAATGTGAAATGTGTATAAATGCAATACAGAGCTCCACAGCAATAAAACTCATAGTAACCTGCTGTGTGTATGGGTGTATCACAGAGCTCCACAACAATAAAACTCATAGTAACCTGCTGTGTGTATGGGTGTATCACAGAGCTCCACAGCAATAAAACTCATAATAACCTGCCGTCTGTATGGGTGTATCACAGAGCTCCACAGCAATAAAACTCATAATAACCTGCCGTCTGTATGGGTGTATCACAGAGCTCCACAGCAATAAAACCCACAGTAATGTACTGTTTAAATTTATCACAGAGCTCCACTGGAATAAAACTTACAGTAATGTGCATTGTGTATGAGTGTGTCACAGAGCTCCAGAGCAATAAGTCCCACAGTAATGTGCTTTGTGTATGAGTTTATCACAGAGCTCCAAAGGAATAAAACTCACAGTAATGTGCCGTGTGTGAGCGTATCACAGAGCTCCACAGGAAAAAAAGCTCACAGCAATGTGCAGTGTGTATTTGCATAACACAGATCTAAAGCTGGTTACTCATTATGCGAAATACAGTTGACAAACATCTCCTTTGTTAAGGTTAGTTATCACTAACACTATTTGTCTTTTGATAATGGATTGTTTTAAGAGAATGCTCAAGTCACAGAATGTTAAAGCACTGCAGTCAATGTAAGTTTTATTTTTTATCAGCTGAGATAGTGAGATAGGAAGCTGTTCCAGGATATATTCCGGTTTCCCAAAATTCACTATGGGTGCTCATGGCTTTAAGGCCACCACAATTAGTTTCTATGTGATTTTAACAGCTGTGACAATAAGTCCTAATCTTTTATATTTTCCCAGCCGCTGCCAAGCCTCGCAAACTTTTCTGACTTTTAATTTAGCTGAAGTGACAGTAATCGTCTTCTGTCTTCTCTGTTGGCGAGAGATGTGTGTACTTAACTTCTTCACAGAATTTGGTTAAAACCAATTCTAACTTTAGATTTCTATTTCAATAACCAGCGGTTTCATTTTAAAAATAGCTACACTAAGGACCGGTTACACCAAAACCAAAATGCAAAGTATGGCATATTTGCACTTCTCATTACAAGGCTTTGCAGCATAAATATCACCCTGTGATTGCAGACCATAGCCTGCAAGGCCTTCCAAAAACCACCATCACACATCAACCCAGTGCCCTTAATATATATATCTCCAATCTCCCTAATTTACAGCCACGATTTGATTAAATGGGTAAGCCTTACATGACACAAACTTACCCCCCACTCAGTATTACAACCTGCGGGGGATAAGGAGAATGGATTCCCTTCCCATCCTTCCTACCCATGCACATGGGGTCTGCAGACTGACATCGGGGACGGTAAAGGTGCATGGGAAGCAAAATAAAGTGAAAAGAAGTAATTATTTATTTATTAAAGGACCAGCGTTTGATTTTATAAGCATAAGATATGGCTCCCTTTAAGTGGAATACTCCAAGTACCATAACTACTGCAGCTCATCATAGTGGTTATGGTGCCAAGAGTGTGTCATAGTGCACCCCACACACCTTTTTTAAATGGTTTGACTTCTTACCATATGCCAGACATCGTTCCCTCCCTCTACTACGAATATCAGGAAGCTGGAAGTTCCTAGGCAGAAATTTCCATTTGCACTCCTGAGCAGGCCAAGATTACTCATTGGCTGACGGCGCTCTGGACACCATAGAGCGAGCTGTAGTGGTTATGGTGCTTGGAGTTTTTCTTTAAGGCAAACCAAAGAATCTTAAGCATAACAGGTTATTGTACCAGTTATGGTGCAGCCATTTGCTTGCTCCCCTGTCAAACAAATTATGAGCAATTTAAGCTATCCTGGCACCAAATATTTACACATTATCCGAGTGACAACAGAAGGACAAGGATTTGTGTGCCAGAGTAGTCCCAGTTTATGCCCAACAGTTAGAAGGAAAAAAAGACGGGGAGAACAGTATCACACAGTATTCTGTAGTGGTTATGGTCATTTATAAGTCCCTTTAGCACAACAGAACGCATTATATGGAAATAGCTATTGTATGCTTTCCTGTGTTAACGTGAGACCAGCTGACATCTGTCTGAATACACCTCCCTTTTAAAATGGTCTCTCTTTGATCTCAGCAGAGGACAGAGAGTCAGTAAAACTATCTATATGTAGCACATTGTTAGATTAAATACCTTGTGGCTTTAATCTAACTCTGCCAAATACCAGAGAGATGCAGGGTATACATTGCTCTCATCACAAGCCCGGTGTATCAAGCAGGCCGACATTTTTAGATTTAACATTATTATTATTGCATTTTGATGTAGTGCCAGCAAATACCAAATCTGCAAGCAAATGAGCAGCGAGACGATATGCGAAAAACAGAACGCAAGAGACGCTGACGAAAAATGTGCAAAAGCTTCAAGGGACATTCCAGGCACCCAGACCACTTCTGCCCAATGGAATGGTCTGGATGCCAACTCCCATCACCCTTAACCCTGCAAGTGTAATTATTGCTGACGTCGGCGAGGGAGGAGCGTGGGCGGAGCCTGACCCAGCGCCGAGGGACAACGGCGCTGGATTCATGTAAGTCACTAAAGGGGTTTTAACCCCTTCAGCAACATAGGATGGGGGGTGGGAGAAACGGATATGTTTTCCTGGCACTGGATAGTCCCTTTAAACAGGCACTCCTTAGTGAAGTTAGCCCCCATGCCCTATGGATAAGCTCACAATTTGAATTATGTGGACATTTCATAGCTCAGAACTAGTAAACACAGACACCACTGACAAATTGGGGCCCTATCATCGGTATAGACGGAGACTTGCTGGAGCTAAAGCAAAAAGGTCCCTATTTACTATACAAGTGAAGCCAACCCGCAACAATTTTGTATTTCTACAGAAAAGACTGAGTAACTTTTGTAAACTGTAATTTGTGTCATAAACCATTTGTGTCCATAATACTTCCTTGTTCTTATTAATATGGGGTTTTAACACTTTAACAGAATGATCTATACACTAAAACTGCTTTATTTAGTTTAAGTAATTTAGGTGACTATAGTGTTCCTTTAACCCCTTAAGGACCAAACTTCTGGAATAAAAGGGAATCATGACATGTCACACGTCATGTGTCCTTAAGGGGTTAAGCTCTTTTATCAAGCTTGATGAAAGCCCTGAACCAGGCTGAAACATTGCTAGTGTGTTCCTAATAAATACTGTATTCTGGGACTGGATCCTTCTTGTATTTATGGTTTATCAAACTGAGGGACCACCCAGTCTCATTCTCATTGATAATACAGGATTAACAATTGTGCATCATTAATGTCAATTTCATTCAAGCTGGACAACACTGAGTGGGTGCTACAGGTATAGGAAAGGAAAAGTGAAACGAAAAACAAGCAGGGGTACCCAGGGCCACATAATGATGATGGGAGGCGATGGGGGCTGCATTGTGAGGGTGGATATAGAGGGGACATGCATGCAACTGCACTCCCATATGACATAACTGAAATGCTGATTAGTACGGCTATTCCAAGAAATGATTAATGTCGACTTCCTATTCACTGATTTAGTTTTTTTCCCCAATACTTACATTGTACATTGCTGTAGGTGAAATTGGATTTCACCTACAGCAGAGGAAATTGTACTTTACTGGAAAAATTTTAGGTTGTTTATCAAATTCAGAAGACGCCTTGAAAAAAGCTTGGCTTATTCTTGGGGCAGCCGCGGAAGGTGATTTATTTTAATGTGGATGCTATTAACAGCTTGGAGTGGAGGCATCTGATTGTTACTTCTGGTATGAATGTTCCATCTCTCTGAGACATTGGTTCTTGAAGCCTTAAACAGTAAATGGTGCGAGCGCGCATACTTTCCCTCTGTCACCTTTCCACACAGAGTCATATTTACTCCAAGCTTATTATTTAGCATGTCAGAAT